CGGGTGGATGGGTGGATGGGTGGATGGGTGGATGGATGGATGGATGGGGTGGATGGATGGATGGATGGATGGATGGGTGGATGGATGGAGGGATGGATGGGTGGATGGATGGATGGATGGATGAGTGGATGGATGGATGGGGTGGATGGATGGATGGATGGGTGGATGGATGGATGGATCGATGGATCGATGGATGAATGGATGGATGGATGGGGTGGATGGATGGATGGATGGATGGATGGATGGATGGATGGATGAGTGGATGGATGGATGGGGTGGATGGATGGATGGATGTGTGGATGGATGGATGGATGGATGGATGGATGGATCAATGGATGGATGGATGGGGTGGATGGATGGATGGATGGGTGGATGGATGGATGGGGTGGATGGATGGATGGATGGGTGGATAGATGGATGGATGGATGGATGGGGTGGATGGATGGATGGATGGATGGATGGATGAGTGGATGGATGGATGGGGTGGATGGATGGATGGATGGATGGATGGATGAGTGGATGGATGGAGGGATGGATGGATGAGTGGATGGATGGATGGTGTGGATGGGTGAATGGATGGATGGATGGATCGATGGATCGATGGATGGATGGATGGGGTGGATGGRTGGATGGATGGATGGATGGATGAGTGGATGGATGGATGGGRTGGATGGATGRRTGGATGGRTGGATGGTRTGGATGGRTSRATGGATSGATGGATSRATKGATGGATSGATGGGRTGGATGGATGGGRTGGATGGATGGATGGATGGATGGATGGATGRGTGGATGGATGGATGGGGTGGATGGATGGATGGATGGGTGGATGGATGGATGGATGGATGGATGGATGGATCAATGGATGGATGGATGGGGTGGATGGATGGATGGATGGGTGGATGGATGGATGGATGGGCAGATGGATAGATGGATGCAGAATGAAGAAAATAACAAATGGGTAGGTATGGGTGGCTGCAGAAAATGGGCTGATGCCTGAGGCTAATCGCTCATTTGTTGCCGGTGTCTGCCAGGAGGACAGGGGTCGGGAGTTTGAATGATGGTGATAGGTGCCGGGAAAACCATCCTCACTCCACCCCACCCCCCGCCCTTTAGGCCTCCTGCTGCTCCTAAAATCCCACAATTCCCAGTTCATTCCTTCAGGGGAAACACTACCCTTATCCAACCCACTTTTAAGCCTCAAATCCCGTGGGAAGGGCCTCTCTGCCATCTGAGCAGCCTGTGGCAGTAACTGCATCAGTTGCCCCCACCCGCCCAGGGAGAGGGCAGTGCTGAGAAGGGGGTGTCGAGGGCACCCCGCCCTGAGCCGGGAGGGTGTGGGCATATCCCCTCCCCAGCTCCAAGGAAGGCTGCCATCTCTAGGCTGGCCACACGACTCCCTCCCGAGCAGCGGATCCCCTCCTCCTGGTTGACAGCAGGGAACGGAAATAGCCGGCCCTGCTGGGAACCAACCGGGTTGCGGCCCCTCCCCCTGCTCTCAGCTTTTCTGCTGCCAGAGACGGGGTGCCACACTGCGTTATCACAGCAGGAGCCACATGGAAGCTTACCCCTGCTTGGCATCCACTTGGGGCCAGAATGCTTTCCCACCCTGCCTCGTGGGAAAATCCTCCAGGCCAGCCCTGAAAGTGGCTTCCAGCTCTCCCTGAAGGGCACCCCCTAGTCCCTGGGGCCCAGTTTCCCCACCTATCAAATAAGGAACATAGCCAGCCCCATCCATCCGAGTAATCAGTACTTGTTTTTAATGGGAAAAAGGAAACCCAAACTTCACCTAAATTGCTGGTCGTTATTCTAATCACTCTTAATAGTAAAACGAGCTTGATTTTCATAAAACCTTAGGAAGGAGGTCACATTTTCCTTCTCCTGTTTTATAGGTGAGGCAGCGCGGGCACAAAAGGATCAGAGCCTTGACATGGGAGGGCAGCCTCTTTCTGTACTGGCAGCCTGGCCATCCTCTTGAAGTCCTCCTGCAGGGCCATCTGGGCCCCCTTCACTCTTGCTCTTCTCCCCGTGCCCTTCCTGCCCAGCAGCACCAAAGTCTACTTCTCCCTGACCTCTGGCAAGACCCTCCACTTCCTGCCCCTACATCCCTGCCCAGTGGAGGCTCGCTCACTGAGCCCCAGCCTCTGAGGAGGGGTCAGCACTTCCCCTCCTTCTGCGGCTGCCACCATCTTCCCTTGGAGATGCTGCGGGATTGGCGCTGTGATCAGGAAAGAGGGTGGATCCAGGTACGGCTAAGTGCCCAAGGAACAGGGCCGAGAGTGACTGATCCCATAAGAGCATGTAGCTGTATCTCTATACAGGGAGCCAGCTGCTCCGGGGGGCGGGGGTTGGAAATGTCCAGAGCTGCCTCCACAGTGGGAAGTTGTGAAGACGTGCCCGTGCATTGGCCCTAGAAGCTCAAAGGAGCATGGTTTCCCTCCAGAAGAAACGCCAAGTTTCATTTAATCACTGTGGAGTTCAGTGTCAAAGGAGACTGCATGTGATTTGATGTTTTTATTTCTTGAAGTCTTGCTTTAAATTGTATTCCTTTCTTGTTTGTGTGTCTCAGGGTGATTAGTAATAAATTATGCAGTTATTTTAACTGTGTTGTAAAAAATTCTTTTTTCATTGTTTTAATATTGTGTCTTGTGAACATTGTTGAAAGTCTGATGTTTCTGTTGATGATGGTTGGGGGACATAGAACCCCGAGCCTCTGCAGGCAAACTCAGGAACCAGCTTTCCTGGGTGCAGGCCCAATGCTCAGCAGGAAACGCCAGGCCTAAAAATCCAGGCTTGCAAATCCAGATCTGCACAGAGCTGCAGGGAATAAAGAGAAACTAAAACGAAGAAACTAAAAGACGCACCAGGGGGCCTGGGAGTCCTGGAAGGAAGGAGGGAGAGAGGAAGCTGCTGAGACTGCGCTGAAAGGGATAGGGCTTGGGGAGGCTTTCCGGGGGGCAGGTAGGCTTTGCATGGCCAGCTTGGAGTGAGACAGCCTGGGACCTGGGACCTGGGACCCTTTGCTGCGGTGCCTGCACCTGGACGAACGTCTCCTGGAGCAACAGATACAAAGAAACTATAAGGGACTAAAAATAAATGTGTGCATGTGCAGTCAGAGCAAATTCTGGACAACAAGATACAAAAAGACCAAAAACCCAACTGCCACTTCTGAAGAGCCAGGAGCAAAAGCAGGGTACTGCGCATGCCCCCTGCACGCACCACCATCAAAGGGGTGGGCAGAGCACCTAAACCACCCATCCCTGGCCTGTCCCCTGGACACACCCCTACCTTCACCCCATATAAGAAACAAGCTCGCCCCCACCCCCTCAGGGAGCGAGCTAGCAAGGGAAACCATTGTTTGTTCTCGCTTCCCCCTGCTGCAGGGCCCCAATAAAGCCTTGCCTGAATTTCTTGTCTGGCCTCTAGTCAATTTCTATTGATTAAGGAGGTCAAGAACCCTGGTCGGTAGCAGGAGGAGAGGCATCCCACATGCCGGGGACACAGGAGGGAAGATGTGAGGGTCAGACTGCGCTCAGTGGAGGAACATTCAGAGTCCACCCAGGCCAGGAGATCAGGCACATCCCAGGGGATGCTGAGCTTGTTGAGACACACAAAGCACAGGCCGTAAAAAAAGAATGACCAATTTAACTTCATTACAATGAAAAATTTGTCTATCAAAAAAATGACAGTTTTAAAAGTGAGCAGATAAGCCACAAACTAAGAGAGATATGTGTAATGCCCATGTCGGCCAAAGGATTGGTATCTAAGTATTCTCAAGAATGCTTACAGGGCTTCCCTGGTGGCGCGGTGGTTAAGAATCCGCCTGCCAATGCAGGGGACACAGGTTTGAGCCCTGGTCCAGGAAGATCCCACGTGCCACAGAGCAACTAAGCATGCGAGCCACAACTACTGAGCCCATGTGCCACAACTACTGAAGCCTGTGCACCTAGAGCCCGTGCTCCACAACAACAGGAGCCAATGTAGTGAGAAGCCCGCGCACCGCAACAAAGAGCAGCCCCTGCTCGCCACAACTAGAGGAAGCCCACGCGCAGCAACAAAGACCCAATGCAGCCAAAAAGGAAGAAAGAAAGAAAAAGAATACTTACAAATACATTGGAGGAAAACAGACTACCCAAGAGAAAAATGTGCAAGTGATAGGAAAGAGCAATTTGGAGAAAAGAAAACCTGAATGGCCAATAAACATATGAAAAGGCATTCAATTTCATTACTAATCATGCTATACTATGATTACAATTAAATAAATCAATTAAAACTATAGTAAGATACCATTTCTCAAAAAAGAAAAAGTCTGACACTAGTAAGTGTTGGTGAGGATGTAGAGAACCAGGAACCCACACCTTGCTGTGTCTCACCTCTGAGGGCAATCTGGCAACGCCCAGTGCAGTTTGTTGAAGATGCCCAGGCCCCCAGCACAGTAGCTCTGCCCCTGAGTACAAGAGGTGGTTTCTAAGAATGGCTGAAAATTGCTTGACACGCCTACCCAAAGGTGGAGTCTAGGCTCCGTCCCCTGGAATCCGGGTGGGTCTGGGGCTACTGCAGTCAATGACTTCAGTGGAAGTGAGGCTAGGTGACATAAGATGCCACAGGGCTTCTGCCTTGCTGGCCAGGACACTCACTCCTGGAGACCTGGGCCACCAGATAAGAAGTCTGAGGACCCTAAGACCTCCACGCTGGAGAAACCAGAGAGAGATGCTCAGTCTTCCAGCCGTTCCCACCAAACCACTGTCCAGGTCAACGCAGAGGGATCCCATCGGGTGACCCCAGTCAGTGCCATGTTAACCGGAAGCCCCTCCCAGCTGAGCCCTGCCCCGAATTCCTGACACACAGCCTCATGAGGTCTGATGAAATGGTTGCTGTTACAAAGCTGCTACGTTTGGGGGTAGTTTGTTTTGCAGCCACAGATAACTGGAACCATATCCAATGGAAATCTATGCACGTGTGCACCAAAGGATATGCACAAAGATGTTTAGGATATCACAGTTTGTAAAAGCTAACCGTTGGAAACAATCTGAATCTTTATAAGAAAAAAATAGATTTTCCAAATCATGGTCTATTCTTCCAATGGCATGAATACCCTTCAGCAGTGGGGAGGGGTGCGCTGGAGCCACGTGTGTCGACGTGGACCCTCTCAAAACAGCACTGGGCGCAAAAGCAAGTTACAGAAGGATGTGGACAGCTTGGTAGCATTTATATAAAGCTTGAGGTTATGTAAAACAGTACAATATTTTGTTGACGGATACTTATCTCTAGAGCAAAAATACAACCACATGCAAGGGAATGAAAAGCAACAAATTCATTATGGTGGAGATGGGATGGGGAGGGGTCCACAGGGAGCTTCCAGATTCCCTGTTGTTTTGTTTCTTTAAAGAAAATCTGAAATAAATAGGAAAATATGTTCGCCTCTGACAAAGCTGAGAAGTGGGTCCCGCAGGCGCAGTTTATAGGAACTGCTGAGATCTTGGCACCAGGCTGTGCCCCCTCACCCCTGGGCTGGGCTGGCTTTAACCCTTTAATTGCCAGGTAGGAGAGGTGTCTAAGGGTAGGGCCCTGGTGGAGGGCGCAGATCGTCTGAGGGCTCAGGAGAGCCGCTCATTTCCCAGCCTGTCTGAACATATGGA